TTGGTGGTGTCATATGATTAAGGGAGAATCATAGACGAAAACAAGGTAAAGTTTGAATATATTTATTCACATATTGATAGATTATTTACCAGTTTAAAACTATGCAAACCGCTGTTAAAACCGTGACATACTCTTCTCTATTATGCACTCTTGATAATAACCTGCAGCTAGGTGCTTAATAATAGCAAGGTCTTGTATTTGAGTCTTGTTTGTTTTCAGTATGATCCATATGCATATGGAAGCAGTCATGCTACAGAAGGAGAATTTGGTTTCCATACCGGAGACCCACGGCAGGACATTGAGTATGAAAGGTGAGGGTCACTATTTATTTATAATTACTTTACTTGCAATTTTAACTTGTCTGCAAGATAATTAAAGATGTAGGTGGTTTGACACGGTCCAGGAGATATTAAGTTGTGAGCATGCTTTATGATTTTAATGTGGCCCATATATTAGCTATTGAGTTCTCTGTGCAAGGTCTGACAACTCTCCAAGGACCAGGAAGTCATAGCAGTGAGGCCTTCCTGGAATTTGAAACATGGTTTTCTTACTGACTATATCCAGCACTCCTCAATAATATTTTTTTTATTTATGCTATCATGGTAAAAGTGGCATAGCAGATTTTGGTAAAGCTGTTATATTGGTGATGTGTGTACTTTCAGGCAATATGCATCATCATACCATGTGCCAGACCTTGTGAGGAGCTTTATTGTATACTTCCAAAAGGTGATAAAGGATGGAAACCTCTATGAGATCAGCAATGCCTATGAAAACAGGTATACTTGTTTTCTTAACATGTGATATTTAATTATTGGTAGATATGCTTCATTTCCTAACATAATGTATAACTATTTCTATGTATGCTTCATATAATTATTATAGTAACATAAAATGTAATTATTGATGTCTGATTTCCCCCATCACTAGTAGTTATTTTCAGAAGCGTGTAGGTAGCCTGCATATATGTGTGATAAATACCTAATGCTAAGTGTTCACTAGAAGATGTTTGGAATTGAGTTGGGCATGTATTCATATTCATGCATTACACCCATATCTAGTTAATCGCTATGTTGCTTGATTTTAAAACGATCATACGCTATTTTTCAGTTTCCCGAAGTTGAGTGATCAGTTCTTTAAGAATGAGCCCTGGCCACAGTCAGAGTACATCGCACCCATTGTAAACGATGGTGAGTCGACTAGTACATTAACATCTTTGATTTACATGCAAATTATGCTTAGAGTGTTGAGATCACACTTGTACTTACTAAGAGATATTCGGTAAAACAACTGCAACGTTTCCTTATTAGGAGTTCAGGAATATATTTAGTGATGATTGCACTTCCTTTCATGCTTGGAACCCACATCATATTTTGAAAATTTCAATAGGAAACTTTGCTAGCACGATGCCTAGCCATTTATAGTATGTGGCATTATGAACGTTTTCTTGCACTTTTTTTCAGACCCATTGTTTATCATCCTGTACAAAGAGCTGTACTATAGACACATCTATGCTAAAGTGAAAGATGGACCATCCCAGGAACAGCGTTTCGAATCTTACTACAATTACTGCAACCTATTCAACTGCATTTTGAGTTAGTATGAATGATGTGATTCCAACAATATATCACAGGGCTGTGCTGCAAGCCACAGAATAGTTGAGGTTGCCCCTTGCAAACTGCCAAGTTTAAAATCTAAAACATTCACAGTAGCGCCGGTCTTCGATGTTTTGTAAATTTATTGAATAATAATCATGTTGATTAAAATTGGTTGCCCACTTATGATCCAGAAAATCTTTAATAGGGTTATCACGTAACTTTTTTTCTTAAAATCTGTGGATAAGGCGGCATAAGATTGCGAGAGTTTGCTTATTAAACTTCTTCTGTTCAATGGCAAATAATAAAAGTCCTTATTAACAGTCAAAAATAATTAAATTAATTATTAAAGCCAACTTTGACTCATTGGCAGTGAACGTGTGTGAGATTAGTTGCTTCCTTGGTTGTTCCTGGTGTGTGAATGATTGCTTGGTTGTTCCTGGTGTGTGAATGATTGCTTGGTTGTTCCTGGTGTGTGAATGATTGATTGCGTGTTGATTTCCAGGTGCATCCGAAGGCCCGATACCGCTGGAGCTACCCAATCAGTGGCTGTGGGACATCACTGATGAGTTTATTTACCAGGTAGGTGCACACCTCATCCTGTTTGCACAGTATAGTATGCAGATGACTGGTCAGCTTAAAGCTTCATCTGTCTTATAAATGTGCATGCCGATTTGTATTTCTATTTGCTAGTATTGCATATTGATGGTGTCTCTTGCCCATATGAAAACGTGGATTAAATGCGATTGATACTAAAATTCGTCCTTCAGAGCAAGTCGTAAAATAGGTGCTTAGATATAAATTATCTGTTTTAGTTCCAGTCCTTTAGCCAGTACCGTGCAATGCTGACCAAGAAGTCTAAGGATGAGATAGAAATCTTGAGAAGAAACCCCAAGGTAGGCTATTGGTTACATGCATGGATGTAGTCTGGTTGTCTACTAAATCTTACAAAAACACTCATTTCTCATTGGAAATATCTCATTTTTAGCTCATCTGACATAGTCAGATGCAGCTTGTAGAATCGCATGATTGTCCGTGCGTGCGTGCGTGCGTGCGTCCGTCCGTCCGTCAACAGTTGGGCACAAATCTTAACCGCTCGACGTACGGTCACAATATTTGGGACGTGGGGGGGTAATCCGAAAACGAGTTGGGATGCCGAAGCTGGGGGTCAAAATTCAAAGGTCAAGAGGTGTAAAAGAAGGGGGAACATTCCCTCCTTAACTTAAGGTATAGGGAGGAAATGCAGAATTGCGGCACAAATCTAAACGGCTTGACCTAGGCTCGTGAAAGTCGGTGTATAGCATCATGGTAGGAAAAGCCATCACTGTGCCGAAATTGGAGGTCACAGGTCAAAGGTCAATGGGGCACAGGGCAGATTTTAGACATTTTCTGAGGACATGGTCTGACGGAGCGATTGGAAAACGTTTTTGTTTCAGCGGTGACCTACCATTTTTATGGCTTTATTGAAAGGACCATGAAATGTACTTTCTGTTTACATGCGGTAAGTGTCTGATAACCTTTTGACCCTCAAGAGGAGGGTTCAACATGGATTTGTTGACTGTTAATAAAGGACTGAACTGCTTTTGCTATTATTAGAGCCCATACCTGTGTGGATGTGAGGCTACATTTGCAGTTCAATTGCAAAGACAAAAGTTTGTTGAACAATGTTTACACTCCTTAAATCATATTATTTTCTAAAGCAGTCTGTATATTAATAGCACCCTGAATGCTAGCGTGGCTACCGGCATCGGAAATGTAGGCAAAAACCCGGGGGCAATCCATTACTGATGCATGGGGGTGAACTGGCACTTTTCTAATAAACATGCACACCTGCAATGCAGATGTGTTTAATTTATTACTCACAGCTGAGCGAAATTGTCGCCTGCCTGAATATACTTGGATTTTAGCCTACAGGTACATTTCAGCAACTCAATGGAATTAGGTTATCTCTACTTTCTTGACTTCTCACCAATGCACGAAGGTCGATGCCATGTTTGATTATTGATTACACTTGCACGCGCCATCTCGCGGCAACTATAGGCCTAGTGATACATTATGACACGAATATATAAGACAGTCGAGCAGGTATGAAGTAGGATGCATTGTTAGGGTTTAGTTTTAGTGTTAATACCTATCAGGAGTAGATAATAGGGAAGGAGTGTGACTTCAATAAACAAGGAAAATTTGTCATTTACTAGCTTTATAATGCCTACGATTTACTACGCGTAACTCATCCAACTTGAGCTCAACTCGTACACAGTACATTCGCCTAGCATCGTGCGATATCGTTTCCTCGTATACACACGCAATCTGGAGATACAGACTTAAACGTACGACATGATTATCCATTCTTTGGCCATCAATCCGAGCCGATTGCCCGCCTATATTCAAACAAAAGGCAGCTATATTGACGCGCTGTTGCTGTGCTTGCTCCCTCCGAATGTGGAATGTGGCGAAAATGTGGCGGTGTGGCTCGCGGGGAGATTGGACATCGACGCAACCATAGACGCAACGGGCGAGTGTTGCTGTAGCCTGTATGCTGTAGCCTGTAGCCGTGCAGCGACGCCGAGTGTTGCGTTGATGTCCAATCTCCCCGCGAGCCACACCACCACATTTCCGCCACATTCCACATTCCAAAGGAACAAGCACAGCAACAGCGCGTCAGTATAGCTGCCTTTTGTTTGAATATAGGCGGGCAATCGGCTCGGATTGATGGCCAAAGAATGGATAATCGTGTCGTACGTTTTAGTCTGTATCTCCGGATTGCTTGTGTATACGAGGAAACGATTTTGAACGATGCTAGGCGAATGTACTGTGTACAATTTGAGCTCAAGTTGGATGAGTAGTTGGATTTACGCGTAGTAAATCGTAGGTATTATAAGGCTAGTAAATGACGAATTTTCCTTGTTTATTGAAGTCACACTCCTTCCCTATTATCTACTCCTGTACCTATGCTACACAGTTTTGATGATGACGTAGCCGGTTTAGCGATAGAACAGGCTTTCAACCTTTTGCAGAAACGAAAGCCAGTACAGTAGAGCAGCAGATGAGCACTGTCGCTGTTGTGGCACTAGTTATATATTATTACACAATTTATGCATTTAACACTGCCTGGTCATTATTAAATAATTCTATGCATCGAAATGGAGGTAGGGTTGGATAGCTATCAGCCGTGGGTGGCTGGAAAATAATGATTTTCATCTTTTTAGATATGGAATGTCCACAGTGTGCTGAACGTGTTGCATTCGCTAGTGGACAAGTCCAACATCAACAGACAGCTGGAGGTTTACACTAGTGGAGGTAAGACAGCTCTTGTTTCTGATTTCCAGTCTCTGGTTTTATGTTTAACCGGCTGAGGCGTGAGTTCTTCTGTCTCCCGTACTCGCACTGAATTCGCTGATGAATTCTTGTCACGACGAATTTTTGTAGTTCGCATTTAGTGAATGCCTGCCCTACACGTAAAATGTCTATGCATTAAGTGCGAATTGCCCCTGGACCTAGAAACTTGGCCCTATTGGGCGTGCCGTTTAGACGGGCGTTTGTGGCTTTAAAGTGATTACGGTACGTTACCGTAAATAATAAAAGTAAAATAATTATGTCCACTTTTTCACAAAATGTAAGTGATTCTGTTCACTTTTTATGGTTAAATTGCTGCATTATACTCCGTACTTTGCTATTCCGTTCAATGTGAACAAATCCTCGTGACTCATACATAGCCCATAGCAATTATTTAATGTCATGATCAATATATAAAATCGCCCAGATTTTTGGGATTTTTAACTAGTTGAAAAACAATCTTATCAGGTAAGAATTTGAGGATACATTTAGTGCTGTTAGTACTTACTTTTCATGTAAAAAACTTGCAACAAAAATCTGACAAATATAGACTATAGAAAATTCGTGACGTAGTCAATTTAAAGAGGCTTGCCGATGTTGTTTTAGGCGACCCGGATAGTGTAGCTGAGGAGTTTGGGCGTCACTCTCTCTACAAGATGCTTGGTTACTTCTCACTGATCGGCCTGCTGCGTCTACATTCACTGCTCGGTGATTACTATCAGGCCATCAAGGTCCTCGAGAACATAGAGTTGAACAAGCAGGTAGGCATGAGTACAAATCGTTTCATGTATGGGTGTGATGGTGTCCTGGTTAGGTGGTCTCTGTGTCTGTGTGTGTGCGTGTGTGCATTCATGTGTTACACTAACAATACTATTGTTATATAATCAATGCCATTAATGGCAATGCTGCTCTCAGGCGAAAGAGAGTGCTGTCACACTGGAATTCTAGCGGTTACATAAAATGCCATATTAACAGTAGTTTCAGCTATTACACAAACATTGCTCTTATTATATTAAAGTGCCTGGCCATGTTGCTATTACGTCGATGACATCGGTCTTACACTGACAATGCTGTAAAATCGTACAGGGTGCGAAATTAATGCGAGTGCGGAGTCAAATACTCCCTGATTTACTGTCGGACTCCCTCTTTTTGAGTGCAATGGAGACCATTGGACTCTCTTGTTCAAAAGTGCATTTCTAACCGTGGCGTAGCTGTAACATCGGCATCTCTGTCATGATGCTTGCTACCCATGTCGCCACGACGCCACCGCTGATGTTGTTGCAGAGCATGTATTCTCGGGTGCCAGCCTGCCAGATCACCACCTACTACTACGTCGGCTTCGCCTACATGATGATGCGACGATACCAGGACGCTATCCGTACGTTCTCGAACGTGCTGCTCTACATCCAACGCACGAAGCAGATGAACTCGCAGCGCAGCACTGCGCAGTACGATCAGGTATGAACCGCTCGTCCGTAGAGACGTCATCACGTGATCTATCATTGTGGAGCCGTTCCGACCTAACCATGTATTCCTCATTCAATTACTTCGTGCAAAGTGTGTTAAAGGGGATGTTCTGTAGGTTATTTATTTCAGAGAATTCTATTCTATCAATATAGTATATTATAATCGTGTCCATATAATATTGTATAAATCAAAATGCTTGTGTAGATTTATTGTAGGCATCAGTTTCGCTTATGCATCGTAAGCCAGAGATCACTGGGAGTCTGGCAGATCGTGCCGCCCGAGTACGCGTTTCTAATTTTCCGCTCGCGTTTTTTTCTTCGCGCGTTTTCGTCGCGCCGAAGGTGTCAAAGCAGAACGAGCAGATGTGTCAGCTGCTGGCGATGTGCCTGGTGCTGCACCCTATGCGCATCGACGAGAGCGTGCACTCGCAGCTGCGCGAGAAACTCGGCGACAAGATGCTGCGGATGCAGAAGGGGTAAGACGCGCCACACGTGGGTACTGTATACACTGTATATTTTGCGGTGGTTTAATTTTTGCGAATTTCGCGAATGCGCCCCCGACCGCGAAAATAACAACAACCGAATAATTCACACCGAATAATACCGAATAATTCATAATTCACCGACCGCGAAATTAGCCACTCGCGAAATTGTCCGTCAAAGTCTGAATTCGCGAAAATATCTGTACGCAAAAAATATGGCATATACAGTAATTCCATAGGGCTTCACAGAGGCTGATTGGGTGTTGTCCGGGAGGCGGGGGGTGATTGTAACAACTATGGCACTAGTATTGGGTCGGCTCGCATAACTGTCCAAATGGTGTCACCAGTGTTGTGTCATCTGGTATAACTATAGCAATGGTGTCATCTGGTATAACTATAGCAGTGGTGTCATCTGGTACAACTATAGCAGTGGTGTCATCTGGTATAACTATAGCAGTGGTGTCATCTGGTACAACTATAGCAGTGGTGTCATCTGGTACAACTATAGCAGTGGTGTCATCTGGTATAACTATAGCAGTGGTGTCATCTGGTACAACTATGGCAGTGGTGTCATCTGGTATAACTATAGCAGTGGTGTCATCTGGTATAACAGGGTCGAATAATTCACATTGGCAGGTACTGTGGCAGAGTGCTCAGATCTACGAATGCTAGGGTTCTAACCCTCCAGCCTCCTTCTTGCCTAGCATGGCTTAGTCCCATGGGTGCCTTGCCCTCCTCGGCGCACGGTATCATAAATAACCATGAACTTAATTCCAATAATTCACCACGACTGCCGCACCTTCTGGTAAATATGCCACTGGTTGCATTGCTGAAAAACTTTGTCCGTTCAAGGGTTCTGTAAATTCAGCGCAGAAATTGAATCTGGTACGTGAAGAAACACATGGACAAATAACTAGTAAATTCGGCATAGGGCTTCTACATCCGGACTTCAAAAGGAGGCTGATTGGTGTCTGTCCGGAGGGAGGCGGCGGGGGGTGATTGTAAGCAACTATGGCACTGAGTTATTGGGTGTCGGGAAACAGGACTACGCAAAATAAGCGGGTTCAAAGAGAATATGTGTGTCACGCAGTGTTAGTGTCATCTAGGTATAACTATAGCAATGGTGTCATAACTGAGAGTATACCTAATAAGACAGTCGGTGTTCCATTCTGGTTCAACTAAAGTCAGTAGGTGTCATGCTGGTATATAACTGATATGCAAACCAGCTATAAGCAGTGGTGGAATCATCTATGTAACAACTATAAGGGCAGAATGGTTGTCATCTGGTATAACTATAGCAGTGGTGCATCTGGTATATTTTCCCACACTTCTTAGCAGGTGTGTGATTATATAAGGAGTACATAAACATAAGCAGTGGTGTTCATCTGGTTATAAACTATAGCAGTCTGGTGTCATCGTGGGTAACATCACTATAGCAGTGGATGTGCCATCTGTACAAAACTATTAGGCAAGGTGGTGTTAATCGCGTATACAGCTATAGGACGATCTGTGTTAGTCTGGTATATTTACTATACGTCATGGGTGTCATCTGGTAAACTATACGCAATTGATACGTGTCATCTGGTACAGACTATAGGCAGTGGTCTCATACTGGTATGAGATATATGGAGTTGGGTCCATCTGTAACAACTATAGCAAGTGTGTCATCTTGGTCTCAACTATAGGCAGTGGTGTCATTCTGGTCTAATCTATAGCAGTGGTGTCATCTGGTCTAACTATAGCAGCGTTGATGTCCATCGTGGTATTAACTACTCAGAGCCACCTGGAGTCATCTGGTATAATAAAATAAAGCAATGGTGTCATCTGGTTATAAATTATCGCAGATGGTGTCATCTGGTATAACTATAGCAGTGCGTGTCGATGCTGGTGAACCACTAGGGCAGTGGTGCTATCTGGTATAAATATTAGCCAGTGGTGTCCTCTGTATATAACGCAGCCTGGTGTCATCTGGTATTACAGACTATAGGCAGTTGGTGATAATCTGGTCTAACTATAAGCAGTGGTGTCATCCTGGTATAAACTATAGCAGTGGTGCCCATCTTGGTATATACTATAGCAGTGGTGTCATGCTGGTAGCATACTATAGCAGTGGTGCATGCTGGTACAAGCTAATAGCAGTGGTGTCCATCTGGGTATACACTATCAGCAGTGGTGTCCAATTTGGTACATACGATTGATTATTATATAAATAAAAAAATGTCACAATACTAAAAAAAAAAAAAAGCGCAGTGGTGTCACTGGGTAGCAACTATAGCAGTGGTGCCATCTGGTATACTATAGGCAGTGGTGTCATCTGTTAACTATAGAGCAGTGGTGTCATCTGGTACAACTTATAGGCCAGTGGTGTCCATGCTGCTAGCAACTAAGCAGTGGTGTCATCTGGTATAACTATAGGCATGGTGTCATCTGTATAACTATAGCAGTGGTGTCATCTGTACACTAAGCAGTGGTGTCATCTGAGTATAACTGATAGCAGTGGTGTCATCTGGTATAACATAGGCAGTGTGTCATCATGTATAAACTATCTGGCAGTGGTGTCCATCTGTATAAACTATAGCAGTGGTGTCATCTGGTACAACTATAGCAGTGTGTCATCTGGTTATAACTATAGCAGTGGTGTCATCTGGTGATAACTATAGCAGTGGTTGTCATCTGGTATAACTATGGCATGGTGTCATCTGTATAACTATTGCAGTGTGTAATGGTATAACGTATACAGCAGTGGTGTCATCTGGTATAACTATAGCAGCTGGTGTCAATCTGGTATACTATAGCAGTGGTGTCATGCTGGTATAACTATAGCAGTGGTGTCATCTGGTATAAACTATAGCATGGTGTCATCTGGTACAACTATAGCAGTGCGTGTCATCTGTAGCAGACCTATACGGGCAGTGGTGTCATCTGGTATAACTAAGGGCGAGTGGTGTCATCTGGTACGAACTATAGGTCAGTGGTGTCCATCTGGTATAACTATAGCAGTGGTGTCCTCTGGTATAACTATAGCAGTGTGTCATCTGGATAACTATAGCAGTGGTGTCATCTGGTAACAACTATAGCAGTGGTGGTGCATCTGTTATAACTAAGCAGTGGTGTCATCTGGATAATCTATAGGCAGTCGGTGTCATCTGGTATAACTATAGGGCAGTGGTGTCATCGTGGTATAACTATAGCAATGGTGTCATCTGGTATAACTATAGCAATGGTGTCATCTGGTACAACTATAGCATGTGTGTCATCTGGTAGGCAACTATATGCAAGTGGTGTCAATGGTAGAAATGGCGGCAAGACTGAGAGAGAGAGAGTCTGTTCGTCATGGTAGTATTCTCGCTGCAGAGACATGACTGAGATTGAGCAGTCGTTTTCCTTTGCGGCACCAAAGTTTCTGTCGCCTGTTCCGCCCAACTACGACGCTGCACCTGCAAATTTCCACAAGGTAAATCTATAGTTGTTAACAGCCAATTACCAATTGGAGACCAATTTATCTATCTCTCGTTTTCTCTCTCTCTCTTTCTTCCTTCCCCTCTCCCTCTCCATCTCCCTCTCTGTCGCTCTCCGGCCTCCCCCTCTCGCTCTTTCCCTCCCTCTCGTTCTCTCTCTCCCTTCCCCTCTCCCTCGCCATCTCTCTCTCTCTCTCCCTCGCCATCTCTCTTTCTCTCTCCCTTTCTCCCTCTGAAAACTGACGTCCCCCCGGAGGTCCCCAGTAATTAACACGCTCACTACTTCTCGCTCGCTCGTTTTGCAGGAGCCGCACATCCAGCAGCTGAAGTCTCTCTCTCTCTCTCTCTTTTTCTCTCTCTCTCTCTCTCTCATCGTCTCTGCTCTCTCTCTGTCTCTCTCTCTCTCTTCTTTCCCTCTGCCTTCTCCATCTCCCTCTGCTCTGTCTCTCTCTCCCTCTCTCCTCTCTCTTCTTCCCTCCCTCTCTCTCGCCTTTCCCTCTCCCGCACGCCATCTCCCTCTCTGTCCCTCGTCTCTCCCCCCCC